CCCCCCCGAACGAAAACTGGGCTGAGGGCTCAGCAGGTGGAGCAGTGATTAACGACGCGCTGGACTCCCCCATGGCCCACAGCAGTTGCAGTCCCAGACGGAAGGCTTGAAACGCACGCTAGGCAGGAGTGCCTGTGTGCCCAAGGTCGCAGGAGAAGAGTGAGGCAGAAGGGATTGCAACTTGGTCATCATGGGGGGAGGGGGGGTGATTTCTCGATTTCTCTGTATCCAGCAAGTGCACATCCCCTCATAGCAAAAATCTCAAAAAAAGAAAGAAAAACAAAACAAACAAACAAACAAACAAAAACTGGGCCCAGCTCCCGCCCATCCCACACCCCTTGGAGACTGACACAGTCAGCACGTTGCGGGACACGGAGAACTCCTTCCGAACTGGGCCTGCGACAGCCTGGGCGGCCAGGGATCTGCGTGCCATTTCCGCTTCCTCAGGACTCCGGAACTGCATGGTGAGCACACTGGGCAGATGTGGTTAAGGCCGACCTGTCTGAGGTGACCTGACCCCGTGCTTCAAGCCTCTCCTCTCCGCAGGAAAGCAGGCCACCTCAGGTCCCCTATCCCACCCAGGGCCCAGCTGCTTCCCTCGGTTCACAGAGCCGCCCCCTTCCCCAGGCTTCTAGAACCTTCTAGAATAGGATACAAGTGAATGGTGAGCACACTGGGCAGATGTGGTTAAGGCCGACCTGTCTGAGGTGACCTGACCCCGTGCTTCAAGCCTCTCCTCTCCGCAGGAAAGCAGGCCACCTCAGGTCCCCTATCCCACCCAGGGCCCAGCTGCTTCCCTCGGTTCACAGAGCCGCCCCCTTCCCCAGGCTTCTAGAACCTTCTAGAATAGGATACAAGTGAAATATCCGGACCATGCGGATTCTTGGGCCTTGAGCCACCTGTGAGGCCTGTCCACTGGGCCCTGAAATGGGGGCTTCCCCTCCAGCCTGTGGAGTGCCAACAGCAGCTGCACCCGCCTCGCCTGCACCATCAGGGTCGCCTTGGCCTTCAGCCTCTCCTGCCCTAAAGCCTACACCCGGCATGGCTCCTCAGTCTTCGCCTCGCCTCAGACGTTGCCTCACGCTGCGCAGTGCTTGGTGGGACCCAGAATCCCTCTGGAACAGAGCTCTGCCCTCAGGCGTGTGGCCCAGAGCGCATGTACAAAAATGCCCCGGAAACATCCCTAGAATATGATTGGTCCCCACCAAGACGACCCTGGACACTATCAGTTTTCTAGCCAATGAGTGCTCCCTCAACAAAGCTCCACCCCCTAGAGCAGGGTGCAGCTCTAGTGCGCCTGCGCGGGCAGAACTATCCCCCACCCCCACCCCGCACGTTCTACTCTCTTCTTGGCGGGCGATGGTGCTTACCAATGAGGCCTCAGAACGACCCTCTGCCCCCTGGCACTACCAGGCTCCACTCTCCTACACGCAGGCCCGAACGTGGGATCCTGCCACACTGCTGCGCACGTGACTGGCTCCCGCCCGGCCCGCCCCGCCCCCCGCCCGCCCCC